GATAGTGGAACTGGATGCCTAGAGAAGTGGTTGGCTCTCCCACACTAGAGACATACAAAAAGAAACTGGACAGCCATCTGACTGAGATGGTGTAAATTGGTGTCCTGCAACAGCAGGGGATTGGACCCGATGGCCTTCATGGCCCCTTCTAAATCTACTATTATATGATTCTTCCTTTTTGGATTCCAGTTTGAACATCAAACTGCAACTGATTTATTTGCCACACCTCTCTAACTGCTGGAGGCACATTCTATGATTTGGTACTGCAGGAACCACTTCTGGTCCTGTCTGTGGGTGAGCAGAGCTTAGAGAATCTAATCTGAAGGAAAAGTTATTAAGATTTTGTTTTTGTTTATTTATTTCTTTTTATATTGCCCAACGGCCAAGGATATCTGGGTGGTAAACAAAAGTTAACAACACACACACATACATTAATTTAAAAGAACAAAATTGTATAGCCTGAAGTGACCAATCCTGCCTAATCTTGGAAGATAAGTAGGGTTGGGCCTGGTTGAAATCTAGTTGAGTGAGAGATTCCGCTCCAGGTGGTATAGAATTGTGAGAAATAATAATAGTAATTGCAGTTACTCAGCACAGAAGCCCAGCAACAATACAGAAAAAAATGGAATATATAAAACAAAGTTTAAAAGTTAATCTGTTAGAACGTTGGGAAAATAAAAAGGTCTTCATCATGAAAAAAATATAAAAAGTAGGTTCTAGGTGCACCTCTTTGGGGAGCTCACTCCAAAATCAGGGTGCCACAACCAAAAATACCCTCCTCCTGGAGATCCTTCAGATGACCTGGCCCCGAGTTATTCATGGCTCTGAATGTTATTTTACTAACACTTTGAATTGGGTCTGGACTTCAGTCAGCAGCCAGTGCAGATGGAAGAGGACTGGCATAATCCATTCGCATTAGCTAGTCCCTATTAACAGTCTAGCTGCCATTTTGGATCAGGTGATAACATAATAACATATGTAGGATAACCCTCATGCTATTCCACTGCAGCTGGTGACCGTGCTGGGAGAATCTAGTTGCATGGGTGATCTTCCCCATTTTGATTAGAACTGCATGAATTGACTGCTATAGGATTGAGCCAGGACAAAATAAAATATCCAGGATTCTGTAGAACAAAACCCAAATTGTCAGGAATACACACTTCTTTATATTATCATATGTTGACTCTACTCACATTTTGGGAAATTTCCCATGACTTGGGAGGATACCTGGATATGAATCAGTAAAAAATACATTAGATCAAAAACTGTAATTATGAATTAACTATGCCGGTAATCTTACAGAGATTAAAAAGAACAAAGCTGTTTAATATCCCCAGTTTTATGGAATAAACCATTATTAGTTCTCAGAAAAAAGCGCTTTTCCCTAAATATTTTAATTTTTCTCCCAAGGCCTTTACCTCTTGTGCTCTGAATATGCACTTTACTTATAGACAAACTGGGAAAAGAACTTCTGTACTTCCCTGTTCTCTGAACTTCCTCCTTTCCAGATCTGAACAAAGATGCATATTCCCCTTTGAAACTCCCTATCTTCCAAATGCAATCTATTCATACAAGACCAGGGTGGTTCAGTTGCAAAGGGGAACATTTCTCTGCAATTCCCCATTGGTGGGGGAGCAGATCAAGGAAGACTATGAAGAAGCAGTGTTTTGGGGAAGGCTGCCCGCAGCTTTTCAATATTTCTTCTCTCCTTCTCTCAGCTATCAGAATAAAAGGATTAGAAAGGGAAATAAAGAGATTTGTTAATTATATTTTGTCATTCCCTTCTTTCATGGGATACCCATGAGACCTAACAAGATCAAAAGACAAAAGAAAACAACAGTCATTACATAAATCCTAAACTTAACAAAAATGAAAATGATCCAAAATGAAAACACAAATACAGCAGCAAAATAATAAATAGCTGAAGCCAAATTAAATATACACACCAGCCAAATTAAATACACTGATCAAAGTAGGAAATAGCAGTTAAAATCACCATACTTTAAAATGCTTTCTGAAATAGGCAGATTTTTAACATCTGTGAGAAGGTCAGAAGGAAGGAAGACTTCCTAAAGAAGTAAATTCCACAATTTAGGGTATTCGCAGTACATACCCTTTGGTGCATAGCCAGTTTTGTCCACATTTTGAGGGTGCAAAAATACAGAGGAGGGCCTCTTCATGATCTGAGCGCTCAGGTAGACTTGTACTGAAAGAGTTATTCACTTGAACTGAACCCTGAAGCAGACTGCAAGCAACTGAAAAGGGTAGCACACTCAAGCAATTAATGCACCCTATTGCATGGGGAAAATCTGAAATCAGACCTAGAAAAACTAAGAGGAAGAAGCCTCTATCCATCTGTCCAGACTCTGTCCCAGAAGCCACTGTGGCTTGTTTCAACTCCTAGCACATGCTGGGCACCATTTCCCTAAGAACCCACCCAGGCACGGCTGATCATGTAGTTTGTATGTTCAAACAAACAATGCTGCTCAGGTTTTCATGACACAAGCGATGCACAAGCAGGTAATTAGAGAAACAGTCCCTGGCACACTCCAGGATTTAAAGCAAGACACCATTATTTAAGTCATGGCTGCTTATTTGAACATCACCGCTACCCTCTTCTAATAATTCCAAGCTGGCTTATGTGGTCCCCTTCCTCTCCATTTTATCTTTACAATAATCCCATGAAGTACATTAGGCTGAGTGTCTGTGACTGGCCCAAAGTCACCTAATGAGCTTCATGGCCAATTGGTGAAAAGACACACTGGATCTTCTGAGTCTCAGTCAAACCCTCTAACCACTACACCACCATAGATCTCATACAACGTGGCCCACTGTCACAGGAGATTGTGGAGTTATTGCCCAAGATTTTCTGACTCCAGAAAACACAGAGAATAACAGATCTGGGAAAAGATGATGTAGTTCTCCACTCTTTAGAAGCAGGAGAGGTCTATGAAACTAATTGTGCTGAGTAAAAAACTTAGCTGCTTTCCCCAGAGAGCTAGACTCTACGTTCTACCTACCACAAGATCTATAAACAATGAGGAGATTCACTGATAATATACCTCTGATAAAGTTAATCCATTCATTTATTATTACTTATTATTAATATAGCAGGGGAAATAACTATGATTAAGATCCAAAAGGGGCTTTAACTAATATTGTGAAGGAATTCATCACAAGCTCCAAGCCATATCAAGTGTCCTGTTTTGAAGATCATATTGTAAGATACTTGATATAAATGATGTCATAGACTACTTGTGTCATCCCAGTGGAAAAAGAAACTCCTACACCTGCTGTATCATCATTACCAAAGACATGGTCAATGAGAAGCTATTTCACAATAGAGCTGTAACACGATATTGCACACAACTTTCACCTTTCAATGCCTCCTAACAACTTACTCTGACACAAGTACTTTACCAAAGAGGCTTACACTGAATCAAGTACAAGTCTTTGTTCTATTTTCCAAAGCTACCCAAACCAATCATCAGCACTCTACATCAAGACACAAACCAAAGTCAATATTCAGGGAGAGAACGGGATGCGTCTAGTCCAGAGTAGGTCTGTGTCCATCCCCTACCCTGGTTGGGTGTTCTTTTCAAGGTCTCTGCTGACCCAATATTGCCACTCAAAGTGAAGGAGGAAGGTAAAATATTAGAAGACAAAAATGCAGGCTACTGGTACAATGTAGCACAATGCAACGTACTCATGGAAGGACAACCAAAATCATCCAGGGGCTGAAGGAACTGTTTTATCAGGAAAGTTTACAATGTTTGGGACTTTTTGCCTTAGAAAAGGGGTGATTAAGGCGATATAACAAGGAGATACATCATGGCGCATCGGGTGAAGAAGCTGGATAGGAGACTTTTTCTCCTTCTCATATGATACTACAACCCAAGATCATCTAATGAAGTTGAAAGGTGGAAGATTCAGGGCAGACAAAATGAATAACTGTTTCATGCAATAAACAGAAAAACAATGGAAATTATGCAGGGAAAGCTGCCAGCTTGGACAGTTTTAAAAGGAGTTGTAAAAATACATGTAGGATAAGGCTATCAATGCTTACTAGTTAGGATGACTATATGCTGTTTCAAGTATTAAAGACATTATGCTTTTAAATATAGTTTCTAGGAAACATAAGGAGTTCACTATTCCATGGATGCCATGCTTGCGGACTTCCCAGAAGCATCTGGTTGTCCACTGCATTAGCAGAATGTTGGACCAGGCAGGCCTTTGGTCTCATTCATCCGCACTCTTCCTATTAATTCACCAAATAATTATCTCTCCTACACTGCCAGCTCGACCAGGTGTGATGTCTTGCCAGTCCAGTATGTAAACAATCCACACATTCACCAGCAATAAAACTAAAGTCCTTTAATGCTAATTGTCTACAAGATTTACAACTCTATAGATAAGCTCTCTAATAGCGGTCCTTGCTATACAGATGTTAACCCCCTAATGGCTTCTCTTCCCAAGCCCACATGGGATCATTCTCCCAAGTCACGCCTTTCCTACGTAAAATCCTCCTGTTCTCAGCTTTTGAAAAATCCACAAGGCCTACTGTGTCTTGTTTCTGACTCGGGGGAATCAGCATTGGGGGGGGGGGGGGGAAGGCAGCTTGCTCTGCCTCTTTCTGAATAGAACTCGCAGCTTCCTCTTTCTCATGACTCCCTGGTTCTAATAAAGGACCAGGCGTTTGCTCAACGTGCCGAGAGTCAGAGGAAGACGCAGCAGTTGGCTCTGCTGTCCCTACACTGAGTTGTGGGGTCGATCCTTGATGACTCTGGTCATCAAGTGCAAGTCCTCCTCATGAGTCACTGCTTCTGTCGGAGCTTCATGCATGACACCAGGATAGGCCAAGAAGTAGATGGTACTGAGGTATTCTGCCAAAAAGTATGATATGTCAGCACTTAGGAAAAAGCCGTATTTGTCCTATGGATGATCCAGGTTCCAGGGCAAAGCAGGAGACCAGACCACTGAAGTTTGTTCTGTTCTGTCAATATGCAACATTTTAGCTATTCCCTTGTTTTTGCAAGAGCAAGGGTAACCCTGTGTGTTGCTCTGCCTTTGTGATCCCTTAGGAGGTTTCCTCCAATAGTTTAGTAATACACTTTGAAGTACAGGAGCTTTTCATGACCATTCTTGTACCCAAACTCTAAGAAGAGTTCAAAATCTCAGACATCTGTCTTCATCTCTGCTCATAGCACACAATTGTTAATGTTTCTGTGTGTATGTGAAGTACAATTGTAAAATTTCAAGAAATTTTAAAGGCATGGGGAAAAATCCATTTCCAGGTTTTTTCCCCCGAGAAAATGACTTTCTGTTCAGCTGGAGGGGGTTGTCAATGTATCAGCAGACTGTATACATTGAAAGTCAGTTTGCTACTTAAGGGAAAATATGTATTACGTACAACTTGGTCTAATATAAAATTATAATGTTTGACATATTAACTGTACAGTTTGCTCAAACAATAAGTACACACTGAATTTATTTATATTTTTTATTTTTATTTTTTTGTAAAGAATATCTGTACTGTAAGGAAGCTCCTTGGTTGTGCCAGTTTATGCAGAACAGGAAAAAACAATAAAAATATCAATATTAGTAAAACGAAGAGAATGATGTCTCCTCTAGTCCACAGTGTCACGCAGACATAAAGCAATCATTCCCATAAAAAGAATGGAGGAAAAGGCAGGGCGGGGGTGAGATGAACCAACAGTCAATTAATATACATCAACTTTACTTAGGCAGGTTTTATGATATATTACTATCAGTTTCTGTTTCTACTTCTGCTTCTTCATCTTTGTTTTTCTCACTGTTGTTATCTCACTGATTTGTGGCAAAAGTACACTGTCTGATTCAGATGCAGGGACTTGCTGAAGAAATTGGCTTTAGAAATCTTCAGGGTGTTTTGCAGCTAAATCACACTCATAAAATACAGTGTTTCTGACATATCTGAGTATTTTAAGATCCTTAACTATTATTCTTTCTTGAAGAGCTTGTTTGTATGTTTGTTTGTAAACTTGCAAAGGAGATCACCATTCTTCTCCATCAAGTTTTACTACAGAGCTGCATTGTCACTATATTATTCTTTGCATTTTTGTCTTCTTGCTTCTTCTTGAAGATTGCACCTGCAATATGAGTAGCATTTCTGTTTTATGGATTATCAAAAACACTTGTTTTATAACTTCTTTTACTTGTCTAACTATCTTTTGGAGAGTTCATGACTTTCTTGAGCAAATTTAGCCCATGGTATGAACATCCTATTTCAGTAATATATGGACACATATCCGTTATGATCTCTCATGCTACTGTCATACTATTTGCATTGTTAGGCAGCAAAGCAAACACTTTTATCATTCCTAATATTCTTTAAGTTGTACATATTTGAGAAATGATATACCATGCAGCATGTCTCTTCTCTCCGGTTGCAATGCTTCTGTAAAACTCTGGTTGACATATTGTGTAATTTCTTTGCCCCTCACATTTGGCCATCCATTTGTAAATATCGCTAGAAGACACAGTGGTTTTTTGATGTTTTCTTTGCTCAGATTCCATTGGATGTTCAAATTATGACTCAAAAAAGTGTTGCTGCAATCATGTCTATAGGTAAATGGTATGATGATCTTGATAATCTAAAAGTGCATTTGCAATTTCATTTATTAACTATGGGGTTCCAGAATATATTGCTCTTGCAGTATTTTTCTTCATCTTCAAGTGTCTTCTTGTCTACAGATGTTGCTGAGCACTTTTGGGATTCAAGTGTTTGCAAGGTTTGTTTACTTGAAGATACTGTTGCTGATGGAGAAACTCTTTGCAGTGATGGTGGTATTATAAAAGAAGCAGAAAGAGGACTTATGGCACAAGAATGTTGGAAAAACTTCTTGCATTTTCATTAGTGTGGTCCTCCTCGCTGACATGTCTTCAGAATAGTTCTTACTAAATGCAAGGATATGCTTTATCGTCTTAGTACTAATTTGGAAATACATATTTTATGTGACAGTATCATAGTTTTTCTCCTCAGAATTGCAGTGTGGAAATGCCACCATATCCTAGATGTTCATCTTGCCATTTTGCTGAGGGGTGGGAAAGAAAAAACAATTTAGTGGCTAGCCTGGCAGTAAACACTAAAATATTGAGGTGGGGGTGAGATTGCAACAAAGCAACACATCAGTGAGAATTTAATTAGGATCTACAGAATGGTGATGAAGATAAACTAATGCAGTTAAATTATAGTTCAGCTCAAGATTAAAATGCAGATACATTTAAACTCTTACCTTTCAAATATGTATACTTTCATCTCCTTTTTTTTCCTGTACTTTCTGCCAGTCCTTTGAGGCCTAGTTAAGAGGACAGAAACAAATCCAACAACTATATCAATGAGAAGAAGACCACAAGCAAAGAAGAAACTGAAACCTTCTTGCTCTCGCATTTGAGACTTGCAGTCTTAGTTTACAACCTAGGACTTGTTTGACCTCGGAATAAGGGAAACATAAGAGCAGTCTTTAGATATTTGAAAAGTTATCTATAGATATGCTAGGACAAAGGTAGGCAACCTGTTACTACAGATGTTTTGGACTGCAAATACTGTCATGTCTGACCATTGGCTTTGCTGGCTGAAGCTTATGGGGTATATAGTCTGAAACATCTGGGGTCCTAAAGGTTACTCATCCCTGCACTAGGGCTACTGCAGAGAATTAATGAAAAGCTACTGTCTGAAAACAGAGGTCCCTAATGCAACATGTCTCTTACACCATCATTTAGAAATATCTACCCTTTCCAGGTCAACCAACTTTACAGTTTCAAGTAAAAAGTATGAGGATTTATACATTCTGTTGAATTTTTTCCTTTTAAAATGGCAAAATGTGACCAGGACATTTATAATATTTTAAGCCACAGTGTCTCACATGCAGACAAAACATTGCATAACATTGGGCAATATAGAAGTAGTCAAGATTAAAAACTAATACAAAACAGCTGCCCTTTCCTTTTCCTATTGTTTATGTTTCTTCTGAGGCCTTCACTTTGTAAAATATTCCCTATACAGATCAAAACATGCTGTGCCCAGATAAGAACCAAACAATAATGCTGCTTTAAGGCACTGCCAGTTTAGCAAGACAACTGAAGTTACATTTATGAATATGACCTCAATTGACATTAATGCAATTTAGTGATAAATAAATAATGATGGCTTCCAGAAAACTCTGAAAGCATACACAAACCAGGTCCTATAGCTCAGGTAGTTGCTATTTTGGTGGTCTGGGAAATAAAAATATACACTCTGCAATATAGTTCCTTTTGATGAATAGAAAGTATGGCTATAAATCTGGTCATTTCATTAAAGCTGCTTTAGAACACAACAAAAGCCAATATGGTGTAGTGGTTAAGAGCATGGGCTGGGACTCAGGAGATCCGGATTCTGGTCTCCACTCAGCCATGGAGCTGCCTGGGTGACTCTGGGCCAGTCACAGACTCTCAGCCCAACCTACCTCACAGGGTGTTGTTGTGGGAATAAGATTGAGAGGAGGAAGAGAACTATATAAGCCACCCTGAATTCTCTAGAAGGAAAAATGGCAGGATATAAATAATATAAATCAATAAATATCTGCAAACATTAATGCTTCTGCTGCTCACCATTTGGCACTTCAGTGGAGAACACTGGGCACCAAAATTTATACAAGAGAACAAGTAACACCTTTTGGATTATAGTCTGGGGGAAAACTGCTATTTCCAATTTGACAGAAATTGCATTTAAGCAAACAAAAACAGCAAAGGAGCCCCAAATTTAGTTTAAATCTTTTAAATACCTATTCTCTATTGTCTCAATTTACTGATGCTATTGCTATGAATAATTATTATTTTGCATGGCAAGTAGGCATCCAGGAAACAGGAAAAGGAAAGAAACATACAATGGACTGCTTCTTCGCTTGATAGCTGCAGAATCAACTGATGGCGTGTGTGTGAATGAGCCATCACTGTTTCAGACACCATTGAGAGAACCTTCAATGCACCCCAGCGAGAACACATTTTTCAGTGTCCAGAACACATTCATTCAGAAACAGGCCTTCAAGTGCTGAGTAGCCAAATAAAGAGAAATCACATGCTTTTATGAAGCAGCCCTCAGTAACTATATTCCAGTTTGGATAGGCTCAAATACAACTTGAAATGAAGTATGCTGGAAGAAGTGCTCCCATCTTGAAAGACAGCTACAAAAAGTTTTAAATAAAGAAAGAAGCAAGGGTTCGGCATTCTCTCATGAGTAACAGGAAGCGCAACACAAGACGAGTGAGGGGTCAGATGACTAAGCTAGTTCATTCCATACCTAGGTAATACAAATGTGCACTAAATATGCTGATGGAATTTTACAAGCAACATCTGCTCTTGTGGGATGAGGAAGGAGGAAAACCTGCCCACATTTGGTTTAGTGGAACAAAGACCTGACAACTGCAGCAGCTGAACCCAAGTGAATCACACAAAACTGGACCACTCTGAGTACACCAGTGTGTTCTTTTCCATTCTGCCAAGAGGACTTACTCCCTGACTCAGAATCAATGTGAAAGACAGAGGACAGACCTTAAAAAGAGTAGTAACGATATAGACAGTAAGGTTAACTGAGAGGGAAAGAACAGAAAAGATAACACAATGATTCAGTAAAGATTTTGTGAAATAATTTCAATTAACTGGTTGTTATTCCAAGAATATATGTTTATATTACATTATATTAAAGACTTAGCCATCTCAAATCTGGTTGTGACTTAAAACACAGCAGAATGGAAACCGCTAAATCAATCTGCTGTTTATAAGGAGCTGGAACATTTGTAAATTGGGAAAGAACTCATTCCTAACTTTGACTTTGAAAAGAATTTATCTGTTCTTTGGATTAAGTTACACTGAAGGGCCCCAGTCTGTCCCTCATCAAGTTCTTCATGCCTTGCAAGTTTCAGAAAGTGACTCACTTATACTCTCCACAACACGTAGCCCAATGTGTGATAGCAAAATTTATTTTTGAACTGCTAGTGTAAAACAGCCAAAGAAAATAGGTGGAAATGGGTCAATGCAGAAATAATTTACCAGTCACACGTTTAATATTAAAGCTAATTGTTTTATAACACTGATATAACAACATCAACCAAAATTCCTTTAGTACTGAATTGCAAGTCTTCACAAAATAATAAGTAAAGTAAGTATAATATTTTATTGCTTCAACCCCGCATCCCCAGATCAAACAACTGAAATATGTATTTTGGTAGTACCCACAGCACATGTTGCATACACAATGACTGAGTTTTTAGAAAGAAAATGAAACCACATGCCTGGACCATCCTCATTTTATCAAATGAATAATGCACATCCGTTTCCAGATTTATTGGAAAGAGATAATACAGGACAATATAGAAGCACACAATGTTTGTTTGAGATGATAGGAACTGCTGTAAATGTGTCTGAATCATTCAAAATACGCATTGAATTCTATAAATCTAAATAGCTTAACTACCATCAGAAAAAAAAACTGTGCTGACCTGATTTTGAGACATCTTCCTTTCAAGCATGTCATCAACACTGGCATTGCAATTCTTCTGGGGCCTGGTTAAAACTGTTCTCTTTGCCCACACATTTTAAGCTGGATCATTTGTCTTAATGTTCTGTCTGCCTCTCAACTGGTTTGATTATTTGTATTTTATTGTGTTTTGTGTTTCTAAATAGTAACATAAATCATATTTAGTTTCCACAACACCCTCATATCCATGAAGATAAAAGAAGGTTTATCAATTTGAAGGAATAGCTAACTAATACTATATTAAGAATAGCAGTACAGAAATAAGGTTATTATAATAAAATATAATGGTACTATAATGTTTGAGTAGAAGGTAAACTTCAACCATACCATTACAACAGTAGCAAGGGCCAAGTTACAGGGGCCATATGCTAACATTAGGAAGAAGCATAGCCTAAAATAGGTGGGGTCACAGCCATCCCCATCTCTTTCTCATGTACACACATTCCCTTTACATACCATTCAACTTCTACACACAGTCCATTTATGCACACATGAAACTTTACACCAATTAATATACATGTACACACTGCCTTAACATAGCAACTCGTTCTTCAGAAATAGAATTCTATGAGCCCTCTACCTTTTTCTGCAGCATGTCTGTGTTGCATCAGCAATTTCTGTAGTAGCAATCAAGCCTCCCAAATTTATCAGAATCTATTGTCACTTCTGAGACCACTAATGCAACATGAAATGCTCTGGAGAAGAGAATTTTTAAAAGTTCTTTAAAATGATAAAAAATCAACAAAACAAAACCATCAAGAGGAAAGGGGCAAGGGACTGTACCTACACAGAGCTGTATAATCAATTTACATACCTGCATATAAAATAAGTGCATGTATATTTCTAAGAATTCTATATGTACACTTCAGCAAAGGCAGACAAAGAATCTGTAGATGTATCATCTGTGTACTATCTGTTGAAATGCTGAAAGCATTATGTCATCCACCCATTCTTTTATTGGCGAGTTTATCCTTCCAGTGTTGTAACATCAGAACTTTAGCAGTAAAAGAGGCATGGAGAAATCCTTTGCACTGAATATTAACTACTAAGAAGCAGGCAGTTAGTTTAAAAGGTCATGCCAATCAGTAAAAATCAGTGTGTGTTCCAGTGCAAAGTTTATCCATATAATAAACTCCTCCTAAAAGAAGGAAACTATGTGGGTATTGCCATAACATCATTATCTTCATCATCACATTAACTTCCTATGCCACCAATAACCAAAGCTCTCTGGGTAGTTAACAACATTTAAACTCACCCATCCAGATTTCAACCAGGCCCAACACTGCTTAGCTTTCAAGATTAAGTAGGATCATGCACATCAGGCTATGCAGAAGGAAAATGTGATTCTAAAAGCATTAGCTGTGTTCATCACCAGCAGTTTTAGACAAATCCTTATTAAAGGCATGCAGTAGCCTCCAACAGACCAAGAGTTGTTGCTGAATAAGATATAAACTCAGGTCCAAAGACACTTCAGATACAGATGCTAAAGAGCTGATCAACTGATGATGCAAATGGGATCGATGCAGCTTCTTATTCCCTTCCTCCTTAAGTTCCAGTATATCTAATTTCTTCACCAATGATAAGTTTTCATAAACATAAATAGTGGGTCAATATAACAGATCAGTCTCTGTAAGTGCTTCCAAAAGAAAAGAATACTCTGAAACAGGCCCTTGGTGTTGGTGATCCTTTCTGAACATCAGTATGAGAAGAAAAAGTGTTCTGATAAACCTGATTTATCGTATTAAAATGTGCTGTCTTTACTGTAATTGCTTTGTACTATGG